TGGTCTGGAACTGGCTATGTAAACCAGGCTGGATTCCAACTCACAGGGATCTGCCTGGCTCTGCCCACCACGCCCAGTACTGGGATTAAAGGCATGTGTCACCACACCCAGTGTCTTTTTTTTTTTTTAATATTTCTTTTATTTTGGGGGGAAGAGATGGCTTAGAAATTACAAGCATTGGTTGCTCTTGCAGAGGATCTGTATCCAGTTCCCAGCACCCACATGGTGGCTAATAACTCTCTTCTTCTGACTTCCATGGGTATTGCACACAGGGGTACACATACATGCAGGCAAAGCACTCATGTACATTAAATTTTTTTTTTTTTGTCTTTTTGAGGCAGGGTCTCCCTATAGCCCCAGCTGGCCTGGCACTCGCTGTGGAGACCAGGCTGGCCTCGATCTCACAGAAAACTGCCTGCCTTTGCCTCCTCACATCCAGCCTCGTACTAACATTATTTAAAGATTTATTTATTTTTGTCTTTTTAAGATAGGATCTCCCTGTAGCCGCAGCTGGCCTGGATACACTATGGAGACCAGGGTGGCCTTGAACTCTCAAGAGATCCGTCTGCCTCTGCTGGGACTAAAGGTGTGCGCCACTACATCTGGCCTTTAAAGATTTATTTTATTATATTTATTTAATTTTATTTTTTGGTCTTTTTGAGACAGGGTCTCCCTGTAGCCCCAGCTGGCCTGGAACTCATTATGTAGACCAGGCTGGCCTTGAACTCACAGAGACCTTCCTGCCTCTGCCTCCCCAGTGCTTGGATTAAAGGCGTGCGCCACCACGCCCAGCAAAAAGATTTATTTTTATACCTTGTGTGTGTTTGCGTGTGGGGTGTGGGTATGTACATGAGAATGCAGGTACCCGCTGGATTTGCAGGCAGTTGTGAGCTGCCTGATGTGGGTAACAAACAAAACTTGAGTTCTCTGGAAGAGCAGTAAGGGGGCTCTTAACCACGGAGCTGTCTCTCTAGCCCCCACCCCCATCAGTATTTTTATTTTTTATGTGCATGGGTTTTTTTTTTGTTGTTTTTTTTTTTTTTGTCTTTTTTTTTTTTTCCAGGGTCTCCCTGAAGCTCCAGCTGTCTTGGAACTCACAGAGATCCACCTGCCTCTGCCTCCCAAGTGCTGGGACTACAGGCATGCACCACCACACCCGGCTATATGCATGTTTTGATCGTGTGTATACCACGTACTTGCCTGGTACCCTCAGAGGCCAGAAATTTCCCGGGAACCGCTGCTGCTGTTCACTGCTGTTTCCGGTGCTGGGCATTGAACCTGGGTCCTCTGCGTGAGCAATCAGTGCTCTTAACTGCTGAGCTCAAAACTGCCCCCAATCAGATTTGGAAAACTTAACTCCCATGTCCCCTTTCTCAGAAAACTGCTATGGGATAGACCCCACTGAAACAAGGGAATAAACCAAGAAATGGGTTCTAGGAGGTCAATTTCCAGAGGGGATCCACCCGGGAGCCAGAAGCTGTGGGCAGACTGTGGACGAAGACACATTTTGGCTCATCAGTGAAAAGTAAAGGAAGCCAGGTGTGGTGGGGCACACCTGTAAACCCAGCATTTGGGTGGCAGAGGCAGGGAGATGTATACAAATTCCAGCCAGGGCTACCTGAGACTGTCTCAAAAAGAATACTAACCAATCAACACCCTGGGAAAACTCACAGCCCTATAGGCGATAAGAGTCATCATGGATCAGGTGAGTAATTTCTTGTCTCAGCTGTGAACACTTCCTGTGTCAGCTTCACGTTATAAACATGTTAACAGCGCAAACCTTGAACAGCCAGCTAACTAGAGGGCTGGCAGAGAGTTCAAGGCTCATTTCCGCAGTGCTGGAGTGGAAGCCAGGCCTTCCACATGCTAAGCAAGCAGTCTCCCACTTAACTGCATCCTCACTTTCTCTCACAGAAAACTGTCTGAAGATGGCAGACACGTGCAAGACAAGTAGTCATGCAGACATGCTGTTTAGACAGGAGACAAGAAAACACTGGAACTGACAGCCTCATACTGCACATGCAAACAGCTCTGCGGCCAGGCCTGTGGCCTCACACATTCATACCACACAGTGCTGCAGCTGAACCAGCAGGTATCAGTTCTGATCCAGGTGGAGGTGATCCAGGTGAGGGCTCAACGCCTCAAGATTGGCTTCACTTTGGATGACAATCATAGCAGTGAGTTGTCACCTGTACTTGTAACTGAAAAGTCAGTCAGGATCCCTTGACCCCCTGTTCATTTGGGCCCATCACTGGGATAGCTCACAGAACCCAGAGAAACTTACTGGAAACAACACACTTAACTGGATCAACAGAAGACAATTTTTTTCTTTTTTGGGGGACAAGGTTTTACTAGTTCTGGATGGCCTGGAACTGGCTGGGTAGAGCAGGCTGGCCTCAAACCCATGGAGCTCCAGAAGTGCTGGGATCAAAGGTTTTGCACCACCATACCTGGCCTCAGAGAACAGACATCATGGAGTAAGGGCAGGCACACACACTCTGAGAACTTCTGGTCACTTCCCTGGGCTTCAGGTGTCTTGCTGGGCAGTATCCACAGAAGACAAACGCCATCCCTCCCTCTTTCCTGGAGGCCAAAGGGCAAGACCGAGTCCTATCACTGGATTCCCTTGGTGAATGCAGAGGCTTGCAATGGGTTCCACCCAGACCACCTCATCAGCAGAAAGTCAGTTGACACCCAGAGTTATTTATGAGTGACAAGGCCACTCCCATCAGAGAATTGAGTTTAGAGGCACTTGAGAGGAACTGGGGGACAAAGCAAAAATTTTTTTGGTCTTTTTAAGGCAGGGTCTCCCTGTAGCCCCAGCTGTCCTGGAGCTCACTATGTAGACCAGGTGGCCTTGAACTCACAGAGATCCACCTGCCTCTGCCTCCCAAGTGCTGGGGTTAGAGGCATGTACCACCACGGCAACTTTTTTTTTTTTTTTTTTGGTCTTTTTGAGACAAGGTCTTCCTGTAGCTCCAGCTGGCCTGGAACTTGCTATGTAAACCAGGCTGTCCTCAAACTCACAAGAGATCCACCTGCCTCTGCCAATTGAGTGCTGGGGTTAAAGGCGTGCAAATATTTCTTGTGACATCAAGGACAAGTGGTGGCTTCCTGGACAGGCATAAAGCTGTTTTATCACCAGCACATGGGACAATTTGAACATCCTTAAACCAGGACATTGCTAATTTGACAGATGTCTTACAAATTTAGGTAAGATCTCTTCTATTCCTTGGGCCACAAACTAGCCCATTCATGACCGTCCACGAATGGTGAGGCTTTACTTCATGAGGAAGGACTGCTAGCTCTGCGGAAAACATCCAGCAGAGCCCTTTGCTTCTGCCACTGTCCCTAGTCTCCTGTCACCCCGATCCAACTCAGAGCACTTGCCTCTGGGAGCTGTCAAACAGGGTTTTAAAGCTCTGTGGCAGGTAGAGCCCATCCCTGGGCAGCAATGGTGCCAGGCAGAGCTGTGAGAGGGCCCAAGTCAAAGAGCAAGTGGGAGGCAAAGTGAAGAATGGACCCAGGCCTAGAGTTTGTCACCCCGCCTTTCCCTCCTCCAGTATTCCTGCCTGGGTTTCCCCAAAAGTGGACCTGCCCAGGGCTGGAGAATAGAGGGGGATGGTTCATGGATGTCTTCTAGGAGCCCAGGTGCCTGGTCTGAGCTGCAGCAGAGAACACCCAGGTGAGTGGCACTCAGAAGGGTAGCTGTCTGCCCAGGAGCTGGGTGGCCTTGAACACATCCCCTCCCCCTTCAGTGGCACAAGTAGTACCTTCCGCCAGGTGGTTGTGAAGATTGGAGTAAGACACGCGGTCCCATGCTGCAGCTGGACTCCATGGAGACCCAGCCTCTCCCATCCTCAGCCGCAGAGCTACTGCTGTCCCCACAGAGGTTCTCCCCGCCCCCCTTACAGAAGGCAAGGGGCAGACTCCAATCTCTCAGCAGGAGGCAAGGAGAGCCTTGGTATTATGGAGCCTAAGAAGTTAGGCTGAGGCCAGACCTGCCATCTGGGTCAAAGGTCTGAACATGCTGAAAGCAGTTTTGAAGGCAGGGTATTGGTGTGCTGGGACCCTAGCTCCACCAGCCTACTTGTCCAGAATTATTCCTGCCATGACAGGGCCCTCCAAGCCCACTCAAGTTGGGGAGGGGATTGTAGTGCCACCCCAGTGGGAGCTACTCTGGTCCCCTGCCAGTCTACAACTGTCTCTGTGAACGTCCCTTTCCCAGCCTCTGCCTAGGATGGGGTGGCAGCTCTTGCTAGGAGCAGGGTGCTTTCTTTGCCATTATTTTTGGCTTTTTTGAGACAGGAGTCTTCCTGCAGCCCCAGCTGGCCTGGAATTCACTACGCAGACCAGGCCTGCCTCTGCTGGGATTAAAGGCATTAAAGGCATGAGCTACACTCAGCCTTTCCCTGCCATTCTTGAGAACGGACTGGATGCAAGCTCTCGCTCCTGGCTCTTCTTCCCCTACAGCCAGAACCCTGTCCTGGTGAGCAAAAGGCAGAGGTATGGGGCGCTGGAGGCTCAGGTTCAGCACCATGGAGAGGGAACAATCCTGTGTCTGTCAACCTCTTGGAACCAGGGGAAGTTCCTGGGGCTAGAAGGCAAGATTTGAACTTAGGTTTAGTTAGACCACAGCAAAGACATTGCCTAGCCAAGCAGATTTGATCAAACAGGCCCTCCGTGATAACTCTGACCCCAGACAGTCCCTGCTGGGGTTGCCTCCCAAACCAGAATGGGACCCTGCAAGATGCCTACACAATGTACATGCCAGGGCAGCTCAGAAGCCATAGCCCCTGGGCAACCCTACCTGGACCTTGTCTATCCCAGGGCACTGGGCCCCAGGGCTGGTCCTCCAGCACCTGGCTGAGGAGGGGTGGAGCTGTGGCTTATTTACTGCTGGGTCCCCTAAGTACCAGAAGCAACAGCAGGAGAGCCCCGTGCAGATGACAGGTGTGATTCCTGGTGGGACCAGCAAAGGTCAAAGGTCACAACTGAGCTCATTATAAATACATGTGTTTGTTGAGACAGAGGGCATAGACAGTGCTGTACACAGCTGGTATAGGCTTGGCTTGGGGCTGAACACCATGGAGACAGACAGACACACAGACTAAGTCCACCCAGCAGGGCAGGCCAGGCAGCATTCTGGGGCCTGTAACACTTGGTTGGTGGGCAAGAGCCGGCCGGAGTCTGGTCCAGGGCTGGTTAGGGCCCCAGCCACCTTGGAGGCTCCTTGGTCCAGTCCAACTGAGGTCCTGGGCAGTGTTGGTGTGGCACCTTGGCTCAGCTTACATCATTCAGGGCCTGGTGGAACAGCAGTGGGCAATCAGTAGGATACTCAGGATGTAAGGGGCAGGGAGGCCAGCAGGGAGCCCGGCAGCTCACCTTGCGTGCGAACTCAGGCAGCACAAAGGCTGCACGGTGCACATCCGGGTTGTAGTACTTCAGTTGCATCTGCTCCACCTGCACCTGTGTCAGCTGCTGCACGGGCTCCTGGAAGTTGGTGCACTGGGGGCCAGGGACCGAGGTGCATCAGGACAGGGTTCTCTCCTGATGCTTGCCCACATCCCACCTTGCAGGCAGCCCCCAGCTCACCGGGTTTTTACTGCACAGCATGAAGCCGATCTGGCCGCTGGGGTAGGTGGGGATGGTGCAGTAGGCGTAGCCCACCACGGGAAAGAGCGACTTGCAGAACTGCCGCATCTCCTTGATGAGGTCCAGGTGCAGCCACTGGCACTCACCTGGGGGAGGCTGCAGGTCAGCCCTGCCTTGGTGAGGGGAACTCTCCCACCCCACCAGCCTGTCCAGGGCCATGCTCACCCTGGCAGCAGAGGATGCCATCCTCTTTGAGCGCCGTCTTCATGAGCTGGTAATAGGACTCCTTGAAGAGGCTCTCAGCAGGGCCTGCAAAGGACAGGGACCATGGCCACCCTGGCTGAGACCTTGAGGCCACCGCACCCCACTCACAGACCCACAGAGCTGCTCAGGGGTTGAGCTGGATTTGGACCCTTGTCTGTGGAAGGTGGAACCCAAGTGTGGGTGGCATGGTCGCCAAGGGCCACACTGCAGAGGAAGGAACACCACCCCAGGTCTTGGTCCACCTGGATGCTGGCCAGTCAAGAGCAGGGCAGAAGTAGAAGAGGAAACTGGGGTCTCATGGACCAAAGGCAGATCCCCCCACTCTCCTCAGGTCTCTGATGGGTAGCAGCCTACTTTCTTGACTGGTGGGAGGGAGAGCACGGCTCTGGTTATGGGGCAGCTCTGCATGGTGCAGGCTTGGCCTTGCTCACCCATGGGGTCTGAGGAGTCAGTGATGATCACATCGAAGGCATCTTGGTTCTGTTTCATGAACTCAAATCCGTCACCCACGTGGAGGGTCAGCTTTGAGCTGGAGTAGCCAATGGCCATGCCTGGTAGGAACTTCTTAGAGACTTGGATGACATCCTGGAGGACAGGGATGGGAGAGACTGGGCTGGGCCAGGGGAGTTGAGGGCTCTGACCCTGGCACTCACGTGGGACCCCCAGCAGTGCCTACACAGCTGGACAGGCCCTTCCCTGTTGCCCAGGCCTCATTTTCTGATATTCCTGTTCTTCCCTGCAGACCAACTGCCCCATATGAGGTCATTTTCTTTTTTCTTTTGGGGGTGGGGTGGGGTCTCATGTAGCCCAGGCTGGTCTTGAACTCCAGATCCCCCTGCCAAGAGCTGGGATTACAGGTCTGTGCTGCCACACTCTTCCTACCTTAGACTGTTGAAACACTCATCTCCAGGCCAGAACCCGTTGCCTTTACCCAGCCGGCAGATAGCTCTCATTTAGGCACTAGTTCAAATGCTGCCCACCCTGTCCTGTCCACCACCCACCCTTTAGCCTGCACCCTCCTGCTTCTTTCTTACCCCTGGCCCTGTTTAGTCTTATCAGGATGTCTCCTCTAATGTAGATTACCAGACTCCCCTGCACCATCCCAGCACCTTGAGCAACATTCAGCATACAGCAAATGCTGTCCCTAAGTCTTGCCTGGGCCTTAAGCTCTGAAAGTACTAATTAACATCCAAGGCACTGCAGGAGGCATGCCCTGCACTATCTGGTTTAACTACTGAATCACCAGGGATTTTTCAGATTGAGAAAACAAGCCAAGGGTGTTAAGCACCTCGCCTCAGGGCACAGAGCCAGTACAGGAGCTGGCCCCAGTGACTCAAAACCAGACCTCCTCTGTGCAGCACCCACCTCATCGATCTCACACTGGACCACAGACTCCACGGAGGGGTGCTTTACCACCTCCCGCAGGACGCCCCCATCTCCACCCCCGATGATCAGCACCTGGGTGAGGGGAGAACGTGTCAGAACCACTCTCAGTAACCTGGAACAGGCTGTCTCCGCTCCTCCCAGCCACAGGACAGCCTGCAACCATTCTTACTCCCAGAAACCCTCCTGTGCCTCAGGGATTTGGCATCTGGGATTCCCCTTTCTCCTCCCAAGGCTTCACCACAGAAAACACTTCAGCCCCAGCTCCCCCAGGGGCTGCACTCATTCTGGTTGACATTCTGTGACAGCCCTTTGGGCAACATCAGGCCCTTATCCCCCGCAACCCCCCTAGTCCCAGGCCTGCTCCTAGGGACCCCGCGCTCAGGGCCGAACCTGGGGGGGTGCGGTACCTTCCGCGGGTTGGGGTGACTGCAGAGGGGCAAGTTGGCTATCATCTCCTGGTAGGAGAACTCGTCCCTCTCGGTGCATTGGATGACGCCATCCAGAACCAGCACGTTGCCGTAGGTCTTACTGCGGGCGGAGTGACAGTCGGGGATCTGGGTCCTGCGGCGCACGGGGAACCTGTCCCAACCCGCCCCGAACGCGCACGGCCGCCCCCACGCCGCCACGGGGTCCCGGGGCTGAGCGCCGAGGGTGACACGTGGCGGGCTCTGCAGGCCGGCCCACGGGTGGGGGCTGGGTGGGCCTCGGGGTCCCCCCGGCTGACGTGTCCCGACAGTGACACGTGGACACAGCGCCCGCCGGGGCTCCCTCCCGCCCGGATGGCGCGCGGTACCTGCGGAAGACCAGGATGTCCTGGTACCGCGAGCGCCGGTGGTGGAGCAGCTGCTCCACCTGCAGCGACAGGGCCTGGCCCGGCCACAGGCTGCACGTCTCACGGAACCAGCCCTCGCGGATGGCGGCGGGGCCGTCGGGACCGGGCTCCATGGCGGGCGGGCGGGCGGCGCGGAGCGCGGGCCCGGGACTGCAGGCCGCGCGGAGCCGCAGCACAACGGGACCAGCTCCGCCTGCCGCCCGCGCCGCAACCTAGCCCGGTAGGGGGCGGGGCCTCCCGGAGGTGGGGGGGTGAGGCCTCCATCCTCCAATGGCGGCGCGGCCTTCTCGTGCGCTTATTGGTCGCCGGGCCGCAGCACGGCCCTGATTGGCTGGAGCGCGCGTCCGTCGGGGGCAGCAGGGTAGTGCGGCCGGCTCCGGGGCCACGTGGGGCAAAGCAGCCGGCGGCGGCCGGGGGAGGGTTCCGGGGCTGGCTGCGCCGGCGCAGGGGGCCAGCAGGCCGTGGTCCGGCGGCGGCGGCGCGCGGGCGGGGCGGGGGTAGGTCCGGTTAGGGGCCGAGCACCGGTAACCGCAGGCAGCCGGGTCTGTGCCTCGTCGTGCGGTGTCGCCCCGCAGCGAGGAGGCGGTGCATCCCGGCCGCAGCTCTGGCGGCTCGCTGGGCCTGAAGGCTTTTATTTACTTGCACGGATCATCACAGCCTGCGCTGTGACAGGCTGGATTTAGCCATTTTCCTGTAGCTGGTGAGCCAGGAGCGGGAGGCTGCTGAATAAGAATGGGGTTCTTTTCCAAAGCAGTTTCTAAATTTATCAGCAGAGCCCGGGAAGAGGCCCGGCACATGCATATTTTATTCAGTCAGCACCGAAAAAGACGGCGCTTTTTTTTTTTTTTTTTTGGACAAATTGGGTCATGCTGGTTTGAAGAGTGGGTGGGAATGCGCTGTTTTTAATGAAAATGTCAAGGAACTTATCAGACTCCCATTAAGCAAGCATGCTAATTACCCAGTATTAAATGCTAATTGCTCACGCAGTTCGAATGCCAAGGAAGATGAACCTGGAATAACCTGTTCCTGACATGGTGTCGGGGATGGTTTTTGACTGACGTTCTGCAGCCTTCACCTGGAGTGGGAGCGTCTCCCTGTCATACTGTAGGTCTATGCTGTGGATCAGGAGCTGCAACCAGCCTCGAGCCACTGCCTGTACCTTCAAGCTTTTATTTTTGGTCTTTTTGAGACAGGATCTCCCTGTAGCCCTAACTGGCCTGGAACTTGCTATGTAGACCAGGCTGGTCTTGAACTCATAGAGATCCACCTGCCTCTGCCTCCCGACTGCTGGGATTAAAGGCGTGTGCCACCCGGGTCGGCTCTGACTTAAAGCTTTTAAAGGGAGAAGCAACCAGGGCGAGTCCGGTCCAGAGAGCTGACCTGGGGCTCATCCTAGCATCCCAGGCTAGTCTATCAAGGATCACAGTGGCTCAGGTGGTCAATGTGACTAGTCTCTGCAGGCTTGATTGGGCCCACCTGTACAGTGGTCAAAGCACCTTCATGACAGCCTGTACTCTCCCTCAGCACAGTTCTGCCTCAGGGCTATGGCTGCCTGTTTACTTGTCTTTGTGATCTCTACTAGGCTAGGGGTGGTTCCTGGAGATGGCAGATCCTGGTGCCTAGCTTAGTCCATCCCATCTGCTCCCTGTGAGCAGAGTGAGGGAAAAAAGCTACTGCTCAGGCAGGAACTGTGACATCCATGCCCTCCCCAAAGTATGGGAACCCTGGGCTCCGAGAAGAGGCTAGTGGAGTTGACTACACCTTTGAAGTTCAGGAATGGGAAGGCCTTTAAACAACTACAGGCAAAAGCCTCCCTGAATACAAGGTATCCTGAGCCCAGATGTGCCACCCAGCTGCAGACCAAGAGAAAAGGCTGTGGTTTTGCCTTTAGTCTCACTACCCAGCCCACCCAGAGCCACAAATGACACTGGAAATCAGAACCGGGTTTGTCGTCCCTGGCTACAGCAGAGCAGCATGTGCCGCACCTCTGCCTGCCACAGCTCCTCAGTGCTCACATGTATAAAGGGAGAGGAGGAAGGCCAGGGCTGTGGCAAGGTGAGCCTGGGAACGTGGCTGCTGGCCAGGGTAAGGGAGTTCATCGGGCAGCCACATGGTGTCTGCCACTGGAGAGATTGGCTAGACACTTAGCACTTTTAAAGGATTATGTTCAGCTAGGGAGACAGCTGTAGTTACCATTATGTGGTGTTACTTGGCTGAAAACACTCATGACAAGCTGCCTGAGGTCCCTCTGTGAGCAGAGAGCCCTTCTGTTCCGAGTCTTCTGCCCCTTTCCCTGCAGGCTGCCAGGTCCCTCTTCCCCTGCATGTCAGGGCTAGACTTATTGCCTCCCCAACTCCAGTCCTTGCTGTGTTCTCAAGTGCTCATCCTGGGACTTGGGACTCAGGCCATGGTAGGTGGAGTTTCAGCTGTTCTCAAAGCCACTCAGCACCCCCAGCCCCCCACGGAGCAGTATTGTGTGACTACTCCTGCGAGTCTATTCCACTCAGATAGGGAACGATAGACCAAAGTGCTGGACAGCTTCAGTTGTTCACTTGACACAGCTGGGCAGAGAGAACCTCAGTAAAGGAATTGCCTCCATTGGATTGGCCTGTGGCCATGTCTGTGGGACATTTTCTTGATTGTTGAGTGATGTGGGAGGGCCCAGCCCACTGTGGCCAGTGCTACCCCTGGGCAGGTAGTCCTGGGTCGTATATGAAAGCAGGCTGAGCTTGGGACACAGGAGCAAGCCAGTTAAGCTTTATTCCTCCAGTGTCTATACTTCAGTTCCTGCCTCCAGGTCCTGAGTTCCTGCCCTGGCTTCCTTCAGTGATGAACTATGACCTGGGAGTTGAAAGATAAAATCAGCCCTTTCCTCCCCAAGTTGGTTTTGGTTAGTGTTTTTATAACGGCACTAGAGTGATTAGGATGGTAAGGTACCACCAAAGTCCAACACGGTGAACCATTGAGTTTTATGGGGGCTGCTTCACCGAATGCCCACCCCAGCCTGGGTGATGGCTCACAAAAGCTGGAAATCTGGAGTGCACTGCTTTACTTGTGGGCTGCTCAGCAGATTGGAGTGTCCTTCCAGGGAACTGGCTGGTCTGAGTCTTCCAAGAGTCCTTACTGCTTATATAAACTTGGGGAGGGGAGGGCCTAGTGGTCTGGTCAGTTTCAGGGCCTCCTGAAGCCTCTGAGTTGTTTACTTCCAGAGTTTAAGGAGCTTCCCTGCAGGATGGAATGTTTTATACCCCCCTCCTTTAGAACATCCCATGTCTTGGGGCTGGAGAGATAGCTCAGCGGTTAAGAGCACTGACTGCTTTTGCAGAGGACCGGGGTTCAATTCCCAGCACCCACATGGCGGCTACAAACCAGCCTTAACTCCAGTTCCAGGGGAATCTGAAACTCTTCTGACTGCCGCATTGCACGGCACGGGTGCACTTACTTACATGCAGGCAATACACTCATAAACATAAAAAATATTACAGCCAGGTGTGGTGGCGCACGCCTTTAATCCCAGCACTCGGGAGGCAGAGGCAGGGGGATCTCTGTGAGTTCATGACCAGCCTGATCTACATAGTGAGTTCCAGGACAGCTGGGGCTACAAGGAAACCCTGTCTCAAAAAGACCAAAAAAAAAAAAAAAAAAAACCAAAAAGAACATCCCATGTCTTAACCAGCTTCCCTCCAAAGAGATGTTTTATCTCAGAGGAAATAACTACATAGCAATCAGTTCTCTACCTTTTGCAGGAAGAGAAAAAGTATAAACATCTTACTAACCTTGTTAAGGTCTTCTAGGTCTATAGTCCTCACTGTCACCAGTAAAGGTGACTGTGGAACTGTGGAGAGTGAGGAGTCTTTTGAGTTCTCTGACAAACTTCAGAGTCTCTCTGGGCTGACCTGCACTCACCAGCCTCCTGCCTCAGCCTCCTGAGAGCCCCCATTAATTACAGCCACAAGGCCTGGCTTCCACAAGGTCCAGCCCAATGCTCTGTTCTCACCTCACCTTGTCTCAAAAAGACCAAAAAAAAAAAAAAAAAAAGTGTTGCATTATGAATACAAAAAACTGCCCTGCATGACACACTTGTGATCCAAGCACTTGGGAGGTAGAAGCAGGGCTAAGGAGTTCAGGGTCATTCTCAACCACGTCTGGTAAGAAATGTTAACTTTTTCTATTTTTTAAAAAGAGCAAAAATGGGCTGGGCGTGGTGGTGCACACCTTTAATCCCAGCACTTGGGAGGCAGAGGCAGGCGGGGATATGAGTTCAAGGCCAGCCTGGTCTACATAGTGAGTACCAGGACAGCTGGGGCTACAGGGAGACCCTGTCTCAAAAAAACCCTCCCCCCCGAAAAAAAAAGAGCAAAAATGAATGAGGATGGGGAACAGAACTCAGTGGTAGTTTCCCTAGCATGTATGAAACCCTAAGTAGAATTCTCAGCACAATGAAGGCTGGGTGTGGTGGCACGCACCTGTGATCTGTGCATGCTGGAGGATAGCCCATGAGTCTAAGGCTAGCCATGGCTACATAGTGAGACCCTATCTCAGAGAAAAGGATGAGATAGCAGTGTTAGATGTGGTGGCACACACCTGTGAACCCAGCCCTTGGGAGATTGAGGTAGGAAGACTGTGAATTTGAAGCCAGTCTAGACTGGACCAGTGACACCTTGCCTCAAAAGCAAAAAAATAGGCTCTTTTTTTCACCAAGAAAACAAAAACAAAAAAAGGGCAGGAGCTAAGGAGCTAAAACAAAGAGATAAGGTCCTTCAGGAGCACGATGGCTCCTAGGCCCTCTGGTTCTTCTTCCCAACAGCACTTTCTGTGTAGCTCAAGGAGAGCCATCCCGAGGCCATGTAGGCCATCAGCAGCTCACGGTGCTTCCTAGCTGTAGAGAGGAGTGCTCCCCTGCAGCCCTGCTCAGGTGGCTATGGGTGAGCACCCTCTGTGGGTGCATTCCCCCCCGCCACAAGGTGACAGAGTCTCCCCCGCCAGAGCTGGGTGGCAGGACAAAAAGCCAGGATCAGCTTTCTTCCAGTAGGAATTAATTTTAATGATTTAAAAATGAGTCTGTACAAAACCAGCAGTGCCAGTTGGTGCCTCCAGCCTGCAGCTATGGGGTCTCCTCCAACACTATCTCTTCGGCCAGTTGTGCCGGAAGCCTCTGCAGAGAGAGATGAAAACCAATTACTTCTTTCCGTTTGGGAGCTGTGCAAATCTTAGGAACAGAGAAGGATGGGCTTGCTCAGGGTCCCAGAGGACTGAGCAGGACAGCAATGCAAGGCTTGCACTGGTGGAGCGGGGTGTGGGCTGAACTGCGTGGAGCCTGAGGCTGCAGGGCTGTCAGGGTCTGTGGGAGCCTGAGCAGAGGGTCTGACCTAGTGTGAGCAGCTGGTGCTTGCATGAAACTACTCTTTATGAGACAACCCAAACTCACCGATTTCACTCTGATCCTTAAGAAATAAACATTTAATACCCATATGCTCTGAGGTGACCCCAGAAACTCTTAGTATAAGAAAGCTGAGAAGAGGGCTGGAGAGCCAGCTCTGAGGTTAAGAGCACTGGCTGCTTTTGCAGAGGACCTGTGTTGCTCCCCAGCACCCACATGATGGCTAACAACTATTTAGAACTCAGTTCTAGGGGCTCAGATGCCCTCTTCTGGCCTCTGCAGGTACTACATGCATGTAGTGCTCTTAAATACCTGCAGGCAAAATACACACATAAACAATAAATCTTTTTTTTTTTTTTGTCTTTTTGAGACAGGGTCTCCCTGTAGCCCCAGCTATCCTGGAACTCACTATGTAGACCAGGCTGGCCTTGAACTCACAGATACCCACCTGCCTCTGCCTCAGCCACCACGCCTGGCTAACAATAAATCTTTTTTTAAAAAGCAAGCTGAGAACAATGGAATGGATGTCCTGGGAAGTAGGCAGTGGTCATGTGGTATGTGTCATGGAGCAGATGTCCCCTCCTGGCAGAGGGGGCTCTCCTTTCCCTAGCTCGTGCCCCTGGAGGGGTCCTTTGCTGCTGCCCCAGAACAGAGGGCAGGCCTTCCTGTGGTCTGGTCTTCCTACCTACCTGTCTGATTTTCCGGTTGGAAAAGACATGCTTTTGTTCCCCAGCGACTGTTTAAATTTCTTGGCTGCAATGCATTTCTGAAAAGAGAAGAGTCATATAAGCCAATGCCACCTTGACCACCCAACATGGGGAAGCACTCGAGTTCAGGCAGCCAGTTCTGACCATAGCACCGCAGGTGTGCTGGCCACCTCCCCACATTTCAGGCAGTAAGGCTGTCACGATGAGCTGCCCAGGGACAGGAAGCTCTGTGCAGCCCACCCACTTCCTGCTGTGCTTTACACTCAGCCTGGTTCACACAGGCCTGAGTGTGGAGGATGCAGTTAGGAGCTCCCCATGCAGCCCCTCCAGGGCATGCGGAGCGCCTCCAGCCTATGCTAGGATTCCCAGGCAGCAGACTGAAATATCTTTACAACCGATGCCAAGCCAGGCATGGTGGCACACACCTGCAACTCTAGCACTTGGGGGGCTGAGGCAGGAGGATCATGAGGTCTAGGCTAGCAAACTCATGGTGGAAGGAGAGACCTCCTCAAAGTTGTCTTCTGTTCTCCACATGTGCACTGTAGTATGCCTGCACCTCCACCACTAACAATAAACTAAAAATTAAAATAAACTCTGGAGGCTGGGCGTGGTGGTGCACACCTTTAATCCCAGCACTTGGGAGGCAAAGGCAGGCGGATCTGTGAGTTCAAGGCCAGCCTAGTCTACATAGCCAGTTCCAGGACAACTGGGGCTACAGGGAAACCCTGTCTCAAAAAGACCAAAACAAAACCAGTAACAAAACCCCCCCAAACACTGCTGGGACAATCGCTAGGCATTGTCTACACTTGGGGAGAAGTGAGGTGAGGGAAAGGACGCAAAGGAAAAGGCTCCTGGACAAATCCTTGCAGCCAAGCAAGGACAACAGAAGCTCCATGAGCATGCTAGCTGCCCACTGCAGCCTTACCTTGCCAGAAGGCGCTGGCTTATTTGGGTCAAATGGGGAGGAAGGCTTGGATTTGCTGTCTCCTAGGAGTAAGAAAGGTGGGATCACGTTAGTGAGCGGACAAACACAATGGCTGACATCAGGTCAGGGGCCTGGGCTTCAAAAGTGCCAGTCGCCTGTCTGCCATCCCCTTCCCATGCTCCTAGGAGCTGTGGGCAGCCCCAAGGCCGGACTCTCCCACAGGTCTGTTCCCAGGCTGGCAGGGGCACATCACCACTTTTGCATCAAGATCTGATGCCCCTGTCCATGACAAAGCCCTTGTGTGTGGACTGCTCAGCCCTGCTTTCTTGCTTTCCAAGGGGTATGCTGCTCTGAAGGTGGCCACAGTCAGTGCCATGTGCACCTCTTCTGGGCACAGGGACCCTCTAGGCTAAGGGGTCACAGGAGGTCACTTCCTGGGCTTTTTTAGTGGTACCTTCAACCTAGTCTTGATCCTGTGGCTGTGGAAAGGGAATGGAGCCAGGGCTCCTTCCCGAGCACCGTGGTGGTTACTGAGAACTCACTTCAAAGGGGGCTGGTGGCCTTCTGTCTGTGCCACTGAGCCAGCCGTGTCCTGGGCAGGGTACACATCAGTGAAGCTGTGCCTCCTGCACTCTGCAGCTTCCTCTGACCTCAAATGGCCAAGCGTCCCCAGGGTCCAGTCTTGTTCTTACCAGCAAAAGCCTTGAAGTCTGACCGGCTGTAGTCATAAGGGGTAAAATTTTTTTCTGGGGGATCTGGGTCCTTTGGTTTCTTGGAGATTCTGAGTCGTTTCTTCTCTTGCTTTTGTTCTGTGGCCCTCGGGTCACTTGTGGCTCTCTCTCTCTTCTTAGTGGCATTTTCTAGCTATGGGTGGAGAACCGGGGAGGGAAGTGAGCGCAGAAGCTCTGCTGCCTCTGGGCCCTTGTCTGCAAGGCTTGGGGCAGATGGATTTCAGATTTGCTTCAATTTTGGCTTTTCTGCATTGGTATCTTGGGAGAGGATCCAAGTCTAAGTATGAAATTCACTTGTATTTCATATACAGTTTACGCACAAAGTCTGAAGGGAATGGAATGTTATACAGTATTTCAAGTAATTCTGTGCATGAAACCAAGTGTCATGGTGTAGCACTGCCCACTTGGGGTGTTCTGGACTATGAGCAATCTCAGATTGGGAGGTTCAACCCAGACTAGCTAGGGACTCGGCTGCTTCAGCAGTGGGGACAGGAGCTGAGGTTGGGCTTCTGGCTTAGGAACTGCAGCCAGGTCCTAACTGACAATGTCACAGGCCACTTGGGCAGGTTGAGAATGCTCTGGGTGCAGTACGAGCAAAGTCTCTAGAGGAGGGTGCAGCGCAGCAGCATCCCCAGGCTTGTCCACTGCCATGCCACAGCCCAGCGCTATGGCAGGTTACCAAAGACATAAAGGAAGAAATGGAAGAGAATTCTCATGGCAGCTGGTTTGGGGAAGAGAGTAACTGACAAGGCCAGGGCAGCTGGAAAAAACAATGACTTAATCTGAGCTGTGGAGTGAACCCTCCGATAATGGTCCAGGAAATCGTGAGCATGACCAGGGCTATCTGTTTCTCAAAAGAAAGGGCAGACGTACCGCAGCCTGCTGCCGCACAGGGATGGCCTGTCCCGCCGCAGCCGTGTACTCTTCCTTTGCCTGCTCCCGGGCAGCTGTGAGAGAGAACTGTCTGTGGAGCTCCTGCCACTTCTCCACCTGACCCGGGCCCAAGAGCCAGCACAGCCATCCCTCCCTCCACCCTGCTGCTCCACTCACTGCTTTCTCATCTCCCCTTCAGATTCCATCCAACAGGCCCACCCTGCTGTGCCTCTCTCAGGAAGCCAGGCCAACTACCACACTGAGAGTATCCATAGGGATCCCAGCCCTCCTTGTCAACAGCCAGGAGCGAGGCTTCCCCTGCAAGATGGTTCCTCTGCTGGCTCAGAAGACTCATTACAACAGGCAACGCCATCCTTCCAGCTGCTCAGACAAACCCTTTACCATCCGCACACCTTTGTTTCACATGCCACATCTAGCTTATAGCTGACAAGTGTTAGCTTTATGACAGAAAGAATCCAGGTTCTGACTTCATGCCAGTCACCATTTTTGGTTTTGTTTTGTTTTCATTTTGAGACAGGGTGCAGCCCTAGCTGGTTTGGAAGTCACTATGTAGACCAGGGTGGCCTTGAACTTAGAGATCCACCTGCCTCTGGCTCCCAAGGCATGTTAAAGGCATGTTTCCATACCTGGCTGCCAGTCACTTCTTACTGTTCTGTTCTCTCTCTTTTTTGGTGAGGGGTTTTGAGACGGGGTCTCCCTGTAGCCCTAGCTGGTTTGGCACTTGCTATGTAGACCAGGCTAGCCTCAATTTCAGAGATTCACCTGCCTTTGCCTCCTGAGTGCTGGATTAAAGACATGCACCATCATGCCTGGCCTTCAGTGGAGTCTCTTAAGTGGACCTCAGTCCTTCCTTCCCTCTAATCTACTCTCAGCCCTGAGCTAGTATGATCTTTGTGAGCCTATTAGTCAGAAACCCTCCTCTGCTCAGAGCCTTGCCCAGTTCATTGCAGGGAAATCTAGCCCCCCACCCCCACCCCCTGCTCATGGCCTTTCCAGCAGCCTTGCCGTGCTATTCCTGGGCATGCCAGCAAGCTACAGCACAGGGCTGTGACTCTGCCTTTGGTCCACTCTCCCCCTAGATCCATGCATGTCTCTGCTCCACTTCACATGTGCGACTGACTGCCTTTTCCCACCAGTGACTAACCAGCTATGCAGCCACACTCCGCCTAGCTCTGTGCATACTGCCTCCTGCTTTTGGACAGAAGGGCAGAGCACACATGGGGTTAACCATACACCATCTTCAGCAGAAGTTAAGCTCAGAAGTGGGGCTGGGCCTGCCCTGCTCATTGCCACTCAGGGTTGGGACCCCTACCAGATATCCCTCAGTCAGAAACGCCAGGGGTGTCCCTTCACAAAGACCCTATTTACAAGGGCTCGAACACTACCTGTCTGCTCAGCTGCCTTCTTCTTGGCCGTCTCTTTAGAGTCTTTCTGGACCTGTACCTGGCTGGCCAGCTTCCAGCGATTGCTGATCTATAACGAAAACAGACATGACCAAAAAAACCCAAAACAAACCCTAAACAAAACCCCCCCAAAATCCTCCTAGACTTAGCCCCACCCAGGAGTACCTTACTGACCTCACTGGCTTTGAGACAACTGACCTAATAAGTACACACATTCTAAGTCACAGATCGCAAATCTAAGAACACAAAGACACTGTTTATAAACTCCTTCCCAGGCACCATGCTGGAGGTGCCTGTATGCAGCATCCCAATGGAGCTAACCATGTTTTCCTTTACATCCCACTCAGGGAGGTGGCTTTAGGCCATCATCTAGGTGATTCAAGTACATGAAGGGATGGACAGCTGCTCAGCGCGCCTCACTGGGGGACGGATGGGGACGACACAGGACAAGCAAAGCCCACTTGACTCCCTCCCACTCTTATTTTGGTTTCTGAGACAGAGCTTCTGAGTCCAGGCTAGTTGCCAACTTGTCATATAGCCAAGGATGACTTTGAACAGATCCCTGTTTCCATTTCCCAAGTACTGGATTAAAGATGTGTACTGCAGACTCGCCATTTCTGATTTTCTTCCTAAGACAAAGTCTCACTTATGTGGCCCTGGTAGGCCTCCAACTCACAGAGATCTGCCTGTTTTTGTCTCCCAAGTGCTGGGACTAAAGGTGTGTGCCACCATGCCCAGCTTCTTTTTTTTTTTTTTTAGGTAAGTGCACTACCACTAAACCAAGTCTCCAGCTTCGGGACTCCCCACTGTCCTTTAAAATGTTTGGATTACATTTTATTCTGTGTGTGTGCATACGTGTGCACACTGCAGAGTATGTGGTAGTCAGAATACAACTTGTGGGAGTCAATTTTCTCCTCCTGCCATCTGGGTTCCAGGGGTCAAACTCGGTCAGGCTTGGTGGAAGACTCCTTCACCTACTGAGCCATCTTGTTGGCCTTGGGACTCCCCCTTTCTAAAAGTAGGTTAACCCCCAAGCTACTGGGTGTCAAGAGCTCATCCTTGCTGCGGGGATGGAGGAAGCTTTGATTCAACTCGCTGTCCGTCACAGGAACACTGAATGGACCCATGGGAGGGGCATTATCTTTCATAATGCAACTAAAAACAAACCTCACAGTGTAACACAGTGCTTTTCAAATTTAAGCTGCAAAACTTTTAAGAGGCTTAAAGCAACATACACATATAAAAATGTAATAAACTATACTATTTATATACTTTTGTACTTTATTACATGTAAATTACTCAATTAGAAAAACACAAAACAATTTTTTTTTTCCAGTGCTAGAGTTTGAATCCAAGGTCTCACATATAAGACAAGCACTCTTCTATTTCACTAGGCCCCTGAAACCAAAGCCTTTTTTGAGGCAGGGCCTCATGTAGTCCAGGTTAGCCTAGAATTCATTATGGAGATGAAGAAGACTCTGAACTTCTGATCTTCCTGCCGTCACCTCCCAAGTGCTGGGATTACAGATGTCTGCCACCATGCCAGGCTTATGTGGAACTGGGGCTTGAACCAGAGCTTCTCGCATGCCAGGCAAGCATGCTACTAACTGTGCTACACCTCCAGCCTCAAAGCCTGTTTGTTTTTGAGACAGGGTCTCCGTGTAGCCCCAGCTGGCCTGGAACTCATTATGTAGACCAGACTGGCCTCTGTCTCACAGAGATCCACCTGCCTCTGCTGGGATTAAAGGTGTGCACCACCATACCTGGTTCCAAAGCCTGTTTCTTAAAGAGACTTCCAAGGGCTTCTGGGAACTTGACTGCAAGTTCTGCTCATCTCCCTAGAAGCATGCTTTGACAGAAAGGGCCTTTGCGTCCATTTTCAAGGGCTTATGCAGGATCTGAAGCCCATCCACATGGTGCCTGCCTACTCGTTCAAACAGGGAGCCCCCTCCTAGAAAGCCACTCTGAGAATCCACTTACTTCATAAATTTTTGAGGAAGGATCAAACTTTGCTGCTTGAGAGATGTGGGCCTTGTGTTCCAGAGAAGGCAGGAACTGCAGAAAGGAAACAGTCACAGAGGACGCCAAGAGGAAGTATCCTGCCCGTCGAGGCACTACTGTTGCTAGTGTGGTCCCACTAGGTCTCAACTCAGAGTCCCAACCTGGATACCAGGGATAACTGACACGCCGGACTCAGGTCCCCCTCCAAAGTCCTACTGTTTTTCTCCCAGGTACAACGACGTGTTGCAGCAGAATTCCCTGCAGCGCCTGCTGGCTTTGTGCAGACGCAACTACTACTCACCATCCTAAATGGGTTTTCAAAGGACTCCATTATATTCTGGGCTTTTTTCTGTGCAACTGTCAATGGAGTCATTCCATTTTCCTCGGCACTAGGTTCCTGCAGGGACAGACCCAAACCAGTCACTTTTAACCATGTTCTTGTGACATCAGGATGAAAGCAAGAGTAACAGTTACAGCAGTTCCAATAATAGTGACCATGTGTTCTCAGACTCTCCTGAATAACACATAGTACTTATCTCCTGAACTGATGAACTCTTACTGTGCCTCACGACCTACAAGGTGACTGGTGCTCTCACCATCTTACAGGCTCTGACTTTGAAAGGTAGCAGGAAAGTCTTACTACAGGTGTGCGCCACCACGCCCAGTGCACGCTGAAATTTTTTTTATCAATTAATTTTTATTTTATGTGATGAGTGTTTTGCATGCATGTATTACGTGCATGCAATGCCCTCAGAGGCCAGGAGAGGATATCAGATCTGGAACTGGAGTTACAGACAGTTGCTAGCCACCATGTAGGTTCTGGGAACTAGACTTGGGTCCTTTGCAAAAGCGCCCAGTGCTCTTAACCTCTGAGCCACCTCTCTAGACCCCAAGCAGGGATTTCAACCCAGGTCTACCTGGGTCTTAACTGACACATGAAATTTAATATTATAGCTCTTGATAGGAAATCAATGAAAATATGCAACAGAACTTTGCTTCCAACTGAGTTCAAAAATTCAGTGCCTTTTGCTTAATTTGTAGTTATATGTGCTTGCAACACAGTAGAAACTACAGACTCTTCAGAGTAAACTGAGCACTCTCATGTTGATGTGGCCTCAAGTTCATGAACACTAGCTAGCAGTGACAGCACATGCCTGTAATCCCACACTGGGAGACGAGGCAGAAGAACTGGAAGTTTGAGGCCAGAGGGGGCTAGAGTAAGACCCTGTCTCAAAAAAAAAAAAAAAAAAAAAAAGGTCCACGTAAGCACATTAGCTGCTGTGTCACCTGACAGTGCCTACCAACATGTGGTCAACCAAGGCTCCTAGAGCTTTCTGTTCAATCACCACAGCAAGACTCAATCTAAACTTCCATTAATAAATGAGAGTAGAGTTTTATTCTCAGGCAGTACATTTTGCAGGGGACCCTTCATCTTGGCCCTGGTACAACATTCTGGTCTGATTTAACCCTGTAGCCTCCAGGGCCCCAGCTGCTCCATGATTTATCACTTACAAAGCTTAGTACCTGTTTGTGTTCAAGAAGATACTACTCCTGCTTCCTCTCTCAGTTCTGGGAAGAACAGCTTTCCTCCCCCAACACCTGGTGTCCATAGCGCTCAGCTCTATCTGTGCACTGCCTTCTATTCTAACAATGCACTCATTCAGTTCTTTTTAAATGTGTCTCTGTGTATGTCTACTTGTGTGTGTGCATGCGTGCACATGTAAGAAGTCAAAGGAAACTTGGGGTCACCTTTCAGCACGTTTGAGGCAGGGTTTCTTGTTCACCACTGAGTACACCAGGATAGCTAGCCCACAAGTTTTAAGCGACTTTCCTTTCTCCGCCTCCTGTATCACTGATGGCTTGCTCAGGTTACAGATGTGTACTATAGCATCTGGTCTTTACATGATTTCTGGGGATCCAAACTTTGTCTTCATGCTTACACGCAAAGTATTTTCCACCAAATGCCTCCCTAGCCCTTTGGGCCTTCCTTTTTGCAGGGAGCCTAGAGTTGCAATTGTGGGCAGAAAGCAGCAGCCCAGGGGCAACAGACAAGGCTCTGTCATAGCCACATGTTTCTGGAACACAGGACAGCGCAGGCAAGGCACACAGAGTCTCCAGAATGGACAGAGTCACTCACGACTGTGACCACCATAGCCTCGCCAAGGGTTAGGCAACAAGAATCTGTCATTCCCTAGAGCCTGCCCTGGCTGCTCCCCACTTCCTCTACAAAGAATGTTTCCAATCCCTTTTGTTGTTTCCCTAAAAGGATGTGGAGATGATGCTTGGTGTGTCAGGAACGTGAGCAAAGTATGTCCTCTAAGTTCAGCAGACAGAGCACCATCTTACCTGGTGGGCATCCAGCAGTCTAGGTCCTCCTGTCTGTCACCTGAGCCCACACCACCTTCCTCATCGGCACCTTTTCCTCTAGGGTTCCTTTCCATGCAGCACCCACAAGACACCCCCTCCCTGCCTCGAGAGCTCATGTGCCCACATTTCTCTAGTGTTGCGTTTGGTGCTGGCCTCGAAGGTGCATGCCAACTTCCAGGCAGTCAGCCCATTCGATAAGCTGACAAACCCCAGGAGCCTCAGTGCATTTTCTTGTTACTCACACTGAACAACGTGATGACAGCTGTAGCAAGAAGGCACCTGGTATCCAGAGATGGCTCCTCTCTTCCGTCCGCAAAGAGGCTCGGCTGTTTCCGAACTGGCACAGACCCTAGAGGCACAGACATCAGCAAGGTCAGGGCCTGGGGGCTCTGGGCTCAGGAAACTGGCCTTGCCTCTTGGGAGTCTAGAAAGCTTCCATCTTACCGACAATTGGGGTGACCGGGCAGTTATCTGGAGGGGCGTGGGAGCAGTCGTGGGGTCCAAAGAGAACATTCTCCAATCTCTGCATCAAAGAGAAACCAGCAGACCACTTGTAAAATTCCTAAGCAAGCTGGATTTCTCAGCCAGCAGTGCAGGTGCAGCCCTGACTGGCCTGCACGGAGCTTTGATCTCCATCCCTCCCATACGAGATGCTGGTGCTATACCTCAGTGCTGGGCAGTGGTCCACTCTTCTTCACTCCAGCCGCAGTTTCAGACTAAGGAAGAAAGGAGAAGAGGCTGGGGATGGAGCTCAGCTGGTGGAGTGCTTGCCTAGCGTGTGGGAAGCCCTGGGTTTGATCCCCCAGCGGGTGTGGTGGCGCATGCCTGTAATCCCAGCACTCCAGAGGTGGGAGCAGGAGAAGCAGAAGTTCAAGCCTATCCTGGGCTACACAAGACCCTGTCTCAAAAACAAAAACACAAAAACAAGAGGAAACTGAGGAAGGCTGTGTAAAGTCGATGACACTGCTTCCCAGGAGCCTGCTCTTCTGAGGAGGTCTCTTAAGGGTTGAGATGTCCTTTCACCCTGCACCTCTTCCAGCACTTGGCTCTGTCAATTAGTGCCGCCCAGAAGTTACTCAGTGCCTAACAGAGCTGTGTCGTGAACTACATGACTCGAGGGCTTCAGAGAGCTGGAGTCTCTCAGGCAGCAGTGTGCGCTATTATACAAACTGGACACCTAAGAAAGACTTGTTTGTAGCACTAGGGATGGGACTCATGGTCAGTCATACACACACACACACACACACACACACACACACACGGGACTCATTGTCAGCCACACACACACATACACACAGACACACACATGGGACTCATTGTCAGCCACACAGACACAGACACACACAGACGCACACACACAGGACTCAGTGTCAGTCACACACAGACACACACACACACACACTCACACACACAACTAGAGGACAACGTGAGGGAACTGGTTCTCTCCTTCCACCATGTGAAACCTGGGGATTGAACTCAGGTTGTCAGGCTGGCAGCAAGCACTTGCCAGGCATTTTTTTTTGTTTTCAGACAGGGTTTCATATAGCCCAGGCTGGCCTCAAACTCACTACATAGCTGAGGATGACCTTGAACTCCTGATGATTCTGCCTGTGCTTCCACGTGCTGGGGTTCTGAGGTGCTCCCCGCTACAACCATCTGTGTTTGTATATTCAGTGGGATGTCCCTGAATCACAAAGTCAGCTTTTCTGAATATCCATGTCTATCCTTGGTTCCCCTCCCTCCACTCTCACCTAGGCTTTGACCTTGGAGTGAGTGCTCTTGATCCCACCCCCACTATCAGCAAATCTATCTGCTGTCTGAGTGACTCCTCTGCAGTCCTTAAGGTCAGAAAGAACAGGCAATCAGCTTTTCCTTATGGAACATTCCTGCCCATGCTACCATGTGCACTCGGGTGTGAAGGCTTCACACCTGGGCTTCCACGCCAGCTCCCTCTGCCAGGATCCCTACTCTAACCCCATCTACCACATCAACTGCCTCATAACCACCATTAAATCGCCCACTTGCTGGCAAATCAACAAAATATGAAGGATAAGGCTTAGCTTTGGAGACAGAATCTCACTATGCAGCCCTGGCTAGCTTGCAACTGCTATGTAGACCAGGCTGGCCTCCAACTCACAGAAATCCGATACCTCTGCCTCCTGAGTGGTGGGATTGAAGGTGTACACCAGCACGCCTCACGTAAGGTTGAGCTTTCATAAAGTGTGTGCAGGTACCAGTGTGATGGCTGAGCAGGGAAAGGCACTGCTGCCAGGTACAAAGACCTGAGCTCAATACCTGGGACCCATGTGACAGAAGGAAGCACCGACCTCTCCAAGTTTGTTTTCTCATCTCTATGTATGTGCTGTGGCACACACACACGCAGACAAATATCATTTAAAAATTAAGAAAAGCTAGGCATGGTGGTTCTCGCCTTTGGTCCCTAAAGTGGGGAGGGCAGTGCAGGCTGGACAGCAGGCAGATCTCTGTGAGATCAAGCCACCCTGGACTACACAGCAAGTTCAAGGCCTGCTGGGGCTACAAGGAGACCATCTGATAAAACCAAAAAGAAAGAAAATGCAGGGGCTAAGGTTATATACAGCTCAGGGGAGGAATACCTGTGCCTCATAGGGAGGCCCTAGGCTCAAACCCTAACAACAAAAAAACAAAACCATACCGCAAATCTCAAAACCAGTAATAAGCAAGCAGTTATAGCAAAGGAGGCACACCCACTGGATATCCTTAGTTATTCAAAACAGGAGAGCAGTAGCTCAGGGGTTTCGGAGATGACAGAGTCAGAGAACAGTAAGAACAGGCCTGCTGGGTCCAGCCTGGAGCAGAAACACTACATACCTTTAGCAGGGGCATCTCTCGAGCCTGCTGGACTAAAAGGTGCATCTCATTGATCTGCTGCCGAACAAGAGGGGGCACTGGGTTGCAGCAAGCTATGATGCCCTGAGGCTCCCTGAAAACAAGAAGAAAACTCAGCTCATCACAAAGCACTGCCCTTCAAGGCTCCCTGACAAGAATAATGACTGTGGGCTGTGGACATAGCTCAGCTGGCAGAGTGCTTGCCCGACACGCACAAAGCCTTGGGCTTGACCTCCAGCACAAATGTAAACCAGGTGTGGTGCTGCATGCTGGTTATCTGAGCACTTGGGAGTAGGGGCAAGAGGATCAGATGTTCAAGATCATCCTCAGCTCCATGATGAGCTCCATGTGAGACACTGTCTCAAAAAATAAAGCCACAGGAAAAAAATGCAGCTCACAGAGGGCAGTGCACAGGCACTCTGCTACGCCAGGTCCCAGCAGTGTTGAGTCTCAATTTTTTCTTCCTATGTATGCTTCAATTAATATGACAAAATGATTAAAACACGAGGCTTTAACTTGGAAAACGTACAGATGCAAGAATCTGGGATGGTTCTTCCTCTCTTACAGGGCTGCTGTAGGTTCAGACACTTACTGGAACTTGACACAAGGCATAGCCATGGCAACATGCCAGTTCAGAAGTTTTTAGCTCTTACCCAGAAGCCCTCAGGCAGGAATTGTGGATCCCTTGGCCTTGCTGCCTTCCAAGTTTGGAGCACTGACCTCTACATAAACAGGGTAAAGCAACAGAAACGCCTGTGAAGCACAGCCGTCCGCTCTTAGACTTACTTAGGCAGCTCTTCAGCTATCTTTAGCATCATATGGTTTGGCAGAACGTATCTGAAAGAAAATACACACAAGATCACATTAAATTCAGCTAGCAAGTACCACTACATGTGTAATGCCACACCAGCCTTCATGGGAGAGGAAAAGAAGTTCCTGTTATCAGAGCTGATCAGCTACAGTACTGAAGGAACCTGAGTCTCGTACCCGTAGCTCTCGTCCTCCCTGCGGGCTGTCTTATCCCTCCAGGCGAACAGCAGCTGGAAGGCGGCCAGCTGCTGTGAGTTCAGGTGCTTCTTCTGCTTCCTGTATAGCTCCAGATAGGACTCATCCGTGAAGAGGGGTTTGACGAATTTCTACAAACATCAGAGAATATTCAAGCTCAATGATGCTTCGGGTGAGGCTCAGTGACCGAGTGCTGCCACGTGCTCACCACATGCGTGCCACGTGCTTGATCCTCAGCACTACAGTAAAAGAGCAAAAGAGACCAACGAAATAAAAGCTGTGTCCTGGGCACTTCAAGGCGCTTGGCTCTGGTATTAAAAGAACAAAGGGCCGGGTGTGGTGGCGCACGCCTTTAATCCCAGCACTCAGGAGGCAGAGGCAGGCGGATCTCTGTGAGTTGAGGCCAGCCTGGTCTCCACAGCGAATCCAGGCCAGCTGGGGCTACAGGGAGATACTGTCTAAAAAAGAAAAAAAAAAAAACAACAAAAAAAACTGCTTTGAGATTCCATCTCACCCTGGTCAACACAACTCCAGCCTTGTCTACCTAGTGAGTTCAAGGCCAGCTTAGACCACATGAAACCCCCATCAAAGACAAACAAATAAAAGTAAGCAAGTGACAACAAATGCTGGTGAGCATGTGGAGGAAAGACATCTTCATACACTGATGGTGGGAATGTAAACTGCTGCAATCACTGTGGAGGTTTCTCAAATCACAAAACAACAAATGCCCGAAAATGGCACTACCACAGGCCTCAGCTATACTACTGAGCATGTACCTGAAAGAATCTAGGTCTACACATCACAGATACTTGCATGTCCAGGTTTGTTGCTGTTCTATTCACAATAGCTAAGAGATGGAGCCAGCCCCGATGTCAAAAGATAAATGGATAAAGATGTGGTACGTATAACACAGTAGTTTCTCTTTTTTTGTGTGTACATTTGCATGTGCTTGTGAGCAGCTTGTTAAGGCCAGACAGAGGTCAACACTGAGTATCTCCCTCAATTGCTCTCCACACTATTTTGAGACAGGGTCTCTCACCAAACCTGGAGTTGCAGATTCAGCTAGACCAACTGCCCAATGAGCCCCAGGTTACTCCTATCCCTGCCTCAGTGCTGGGATTACAGGTGGGTGCCACCATTGTAGCTTTAAAAAGAAAAAGGTTCTGGGGACTGGAGAGATGGCTCAGCGGTTAAGAGCACTGACTGCTCTTGCAGAGGACCCGGGTTCGATTCCCAGTACCCACATGGTGGCTACGAACCATCCTTAACTCCAGTTCCAGGGGAACTGAAGCCCTCTTCTGACCTCTGTGGCATTGTACGACACGGGCACGCTCACATACATGCAGGCAATATACTCATATGAAGTGAGAGCATTATGTTAAGCTAAGTAAGCCAGACTCAGAATACCCAACAATTTCTCTTATGCAGAATCTAGATCCATTTTTGTGTGTGCAGATCATAAAACTAGAAAGGGGGTCAAGAAGGGACAAAGAGGTCTTGAGGTGATATGGGAAACAAGGGCAATAAATTCATGTGGCATGAAAGCAGAGGGGGACTACTGAGGGATGGGGGGCAGCAAGAGGGGTGTGGAGAAGGGGGGGCAGTGGACGAGGGGGCTGCAGAAGAAAGCATAATGGTATATGTGTGTGGAAAAGCCTCAAGAGCCACTGTGTATGCTGACCTTAAGAGTTAAAGAGAAGAACCCAACCAGAACCAGACAGCGTGGGTGGTGGGTTTATGTGGCTCTGGTGACACGGTACCTTGAGACAGATGTCCCTGCTCCGCTGCCACACCACTTGCAACTGCGCAGGGTGCTCGTTGCCTCGCTCCCACAGCGCCAGTCTCATTTGGTCATAGATGTAAAGCAGGTAATGGGTGTCATCCCTCGCATAGTTTATCATTTCCTCTGGCAGAGGGCTAGAGTTACAAAAGAGGACGTGACTTCACGGATTTCCTTAGGGATAGCCATCCAACCTGTCTGTGTTGGGTGCCAGGACTTTGGGGGCCCCTTCCGATTCTGATTCCAAACTAAGGTCATAGCAATACTTTCTGCATCCCAATATGAGAAACTGTTATTTAACATCCAGGCAGAGTCAGAGTGATAGTATAGTTAAAATAAGGGTGCTGTAGTCCTGATGTGATGCTTAGCTGAGTTGTCTGTCCTTAACCTGAGCTTTCTTGCTCAGCTGTGAAAAGGAGTCAAACACTTAGGCTGGTGTGAGGATGACCCAGGACATTATCCCTATAGCATTCAGCCCAGGGCTGGGAGGAGGGTAATGCCTCAATAATGGAGGGGGTTTTCAGATGTCACTAATCTTCTATTGGGACACACTAGTCCAAATACATTTTTCTTTTTTATATTTATAAATACTGATATGTGCAAATGGGAAGATTGTTTCAGCCCCAGGGAAGTAACAGGCTATGGGAAGGTGAACAAGGTGGACCAGGCCTCCAGGTTAACAACAACCACACTTTCTTCTGCCGTCTGCATGTCTTGCCATGGGCATACTGACCGTATCCTCCAGTCTGCCAGCTGATACTGCTTGTTTGACTCCACACCACAGTAGAGTCTCAGCAGGTGGTCAAGTGAGTGACGACCAAGGTTGAGAAGCCGAGCAGCCTGGTGTGTGTCAAACATGTTCACCACGTAGAGCCCGAAGTCTTTCTGTAACCACTCTATGTCGGAGTCAGCACCATGGAAGACCTAAAAACAATAAAAACCCGTGCAGCTCACACCAGCGCTAGGATACTCACCTGTCATCACCTGGGCCCTGAAACAGTTACGGACACCGTTTATGTTTATGGGTGGTAACAAGCTATCTTGGGGTTCCCATGGGGTCTAGGCTTAGCAATTTAGTATTCGGAGCCTCAGGGACGATGACACCGCTTCCTCTTAACTTCACTGCGTCTAGGTTGGAAGAGTGAGGTGGAATCCTGAAGAGCACTGCAATCCTGCTCCACAGGCAGGACCACAAAGCCTGGCTGACCTTAACGATTGCCGGGTCTGTGAGGCTCTCGTTGAGAATGTACATGTCACTGCGGAGCTCCAGGGTGTCCACAATGAAGTCTTCTGTTCGGGTGGAAATTTGCATCAGGCAGGTCAGTCCTAGGAAGCTTCTGTAAGAGTGATGCTAAAACACAGGGAGAGCAGGGGAAATGACTTAGTAGCTCCCTTCACCCTTCTATTTTGTGGTGTTGAGGACTGAACCTAGGGTCTCCCACTGAGCTACATGTCAGCCCTCCTCTGCCAATTATGGGAAGTCAGCTACAGAAGTACACATTTTCAGAAAAAAAATTAAGGTTGAGGCAGGAGAATGGGCTGGAGTTTGAAGCTAGCCTGGCTATAAAGTAAGTTTAAGGTGAACCTGGGCTACAGCATGATACTTTGTCTCAACTCCCCAACCCCAAAGATTAAAATCAGTGCTAAGTTTTGACATCTCAACTAAGTGAACTCACAGGAAATTTAGAAATTTCACTCAAGGTGAATTATAAGATACCTCCAAGTCTACTGCAAATTCTTGACAATGTAAGAGCTTTTCGTTGAGCTCCACAAGGTCGTCCAGGGAGGACACAAAGTGGCAGGGTGTTTCTTCCACAGGTCGGTACAACTGGATCAAGAAAGTGGTGGGAAAGACAACTGAGCACCAATCCCACTAAAGGATAAATGCATATTAAATCCAAGAGAAGACCCAAAGTTTGCGACCTCCTAAAGGAACTGAAGGGAAAATCAAAATTTCAAACTAGTGCCTTGACGCTTCTTCCCAGGCCCCGATACCAGCCTCAAAATTCAGGTTGTGCACTAACCTGGGGTCGGGGCTTCTGAAACACTGAATCTGGTGGAGAAAAGTGATCAAGTTCATACTGATAAGGATGTGCAAACCTGAGTAATAGCAACACAAAAGAAAAACACTGGTTAATTTCACAATTCAAAGGGAAAACAGCTGCTCGAATATAATGCCTATAAACAAATGAGTAGGTAGGGATGCGGCTCCGTTGGTAGAGTGCTTGCCTACCCTGAACAAAGCCCTATGTTCCATCCAACAGCAGGGTGGCACAGGCCTGTAATCTCTGCATCTGGGAAGCAGAGGCAGGTGGATCTCTGTTAATTGGACATCAGCCTGGTCTACACAGTGAGTTCCAGGCCAGCTGGGGCTACAGGGAGACAAAAAAAAAAAAAAAAAAAAAAAAAAAAAAAAAAAAAAGAAGTTCAAGGTCATCCTCAGGACTCGGCAAAAGTGTGGCCAGACTAGGACACATGAGACAATGAATGTCTCAAAAAACTCTCAAAACAAACAAAAAACAGTCCACCAGCAGCAGCAACAACAAATAACAAAAAATGAGAGGATCACATTGTGAAAATAACTTGTCTTCACACAAAGGAAGTTCTAGGTCAGCCTGGGCTACAGAGTGAGACCCTATCTCAAAACAAGCAAACAGGCCGGCATGGTGGTGCACGACTTTAATCCCAGCACTCAGGAGGCAGAGGCAGGTGGATCTCTGTGAGATCAAGATCAACCTGGGCTACATGGCCAGTTCCAGGCCAGCTGGGCTACAGGAGCACCCTGTCTTAAACAAACAAACCCCACAACCAGAGGCTGTGCCAAGCTCCTTGAGGGCAGGTTACCCTTCCTTCCCTTTGTTTCTCTAGCACTTGGCACATGGTCTCATAGTGCAAGGTAGGGCAGACTCTGGACTGCGAGGTCAATACCAGCAAAGCTCTGCCATGTGTGGGGAAGGGGGGGCAAGCCATGGGGCGCATGTGGAAGTCACAGGACAACCCAAGTGTCAGTCTTTGCCTTCTATCCTGAGAAATGGTCTCTGGTTTGCTGCACATATGCCAGGCTGGCTGCCCTGCAAACTACTAGGAATTCTCCTGTCCATGCTTCCCAGACTCCACAGGACACATGATAATATGCCAGCTTTATGTGGGTTCTGGAGATCTGAACTCGTGTCCTCACACTTGAACGGCAAGCATTTTACCTACCGAGTCATCTCCCCCAGCCCCTTAACAAAGTTCTTAGAACATTTTTGCATCATATTGACGTCCACTGGTGTGCTTTTTTTTTTTTTTCTTTTTGAGACAGGGTCTCCCTGTAGCCTCAGCTGTCCTGGAACTCACTATGTAGACCAGGCTGGCCTCAAACTCACAGTGATCAGCCTGCCTCTGCCTCCCGAGTGCTGGGATTAAAGGCGTGGGCCACCAGGCTCCGCTGGTCTACTTTTAAAAATCTTTGTTTGTGTGTGTATGTCTAAGTGTACCAGTGCATGCAATGCCTGTGGGGGCTGGAAGAGGGGGTCAGATTCCCTGGAACTGGAGTTCTAGATGGTTGTTAGGTGCCATGTGGGTGCTGGGAACCTAACGCAGATCCTCTGCAAGAACAGTCTGTGCTCTTAACTGCAGAGCCATCTCTCCAGTCCCTTCCCGTCTTTTTTGCAGGGCGCTAGGGGTGGGGGTGGGGACACCAAAAAAAGAGAGTCTCACCATGTATTTCTGACTGGTATGGAGCCTTCAGAGATCCACCTGCCTGTACTGGGGTTAAAGGCGTGCACTACCACACCTGGCTCCACTGGTGTTTTCATTAATTTTTTTGATGCAGGGGATTTAACTTAGGGCCCTCAGACATGCTAGACCACTCTATCACTAAGCTATACTCCCAGTCCACCTGCTAATTTAGTGAAGTTTATTTATCAATTTTTTTTCATATGTTGAGACAAGAGTCTGAACTGTGTAGCTCAGGCTGGCCTTGAACTTGTGATCCTTCTGCCTAAGTATCCCAAGTTCTTGGATTACAGGTATGAGTCTCTATGGCAGCCCTAAGTGGAGTTTTCCCAAGATGCTTACACTGTGAGTAAAAACTGCCCTTTCCCTTGCTGAATTCTGAGTTAGCCCCACCCACATGTCTGAGCCTCTACCTCAGAAAGGAAGAAGAAAGGCAATTTTAAGTACACTGGGCTGAAACTCTGGCACTGTGACCTTAATACCTCTAATTTTTTCTAGAATCTGTAAAATGGGGGATGAGAGCAGCTACCACCCATGAGGATGACGCTGAGAACAGTGCCGTGCAGACCCCCTGCAAACAGAAATAAGGGTAAATGCTCGGACTTGTGTGAGGACAAGGTGGAAACCACTGTCTCAACGCGCTCTCATGTTCACAGTATAGACGTGAAGACAAGTAAATACAGCATAAAGGCGGGCCTGAGGGCGGACGCCCGCCATGCCAGCTCTGCGGTAGAAGCAGCAGTGCAAGATCAGCCTTAGCTACATACTAAGTTCGAGGCCCGCATGGGCTATGTAACACTCCATCCAAAGAACGCAAAAAGGCAGAGAGGCGAGTAGAAAGCCCAGACACAGGCAGACACTTACATGTCCTGCTCGACCTGCTGTGTTCGCTGCTGGTGGATGAAGTCTGCCAGGGCAGGGGGGACGTCCAAGTCCTCAGGACGATCCTGAGGGCGTTCCCGCCTTTCCTTTGTGAGAGCTGGAGACGCAAGCAGTGGCAGACACACCATCACACGAGGGGCACTTTTAGCTTAGGAGCTGATGGCTCCTCTGATGAAAATAAGGTGCAGAAGGACGTGACCCCTGCAGGGTCTCCATCAGATGCAAGGACTCAAACCCAGCAGCGCCCGCACCACTTACCCTGAGGGAGGGGCTTCTGAGCATTGGGCTTGACAAAGATTTTAGGAAGAAATGGAGTATTGGAATTGTCAATCTTTTCTCGAAACTTGAGCTGAGGTCGGATGATGTTTTTTGCATGCAGTAGTCGGAAAGTTTCAGATTTTGCTTTTTTGCCATATTCTCCTGCCTATAGTCAATATATACAAATATTTAACACAGCAACTTGATGAATTAGAAAAAGGAATTCCATTGCTAGGCAATCTGAGGGCCCTCACCTTCCGGTTCCAGCTGGACACAATTGTTTTGGGGACCTGCAGTCCTGCAGGAAGGACAGGCTGTTGATGCTTATTCACACCTGAGGCTTCATCCAGTAAAATACCCTAAGAGCAGAAAAGCAGCAGAAAAGGTTAGTATCTTCTTTTGGTGGTTAACAGTGTTAATTACCTGACATTTTCAAGAAATACATTCACATTAGCTGGGCATGGTGGTGTACGCCTTTAGTCCCAGCACTTAGGAGGCAGAGGCAGGTGGATATAAGTGAGATCAAGGCCAGACTGGTCTACATAGAGTTCGAGGCCAGCTAGGGCTATAGGTAGACTCTGTCCCAAAACAAAACAAAATAACACCCAAACCCTCCCCAAAAGAAACATATTAACAGAATTATGTACAGGATAATATATACTTGAAAGAGTAGATGAATACATATCAAAACATGCTGTAACCAGAAGTATACAGAAATTTTAACTTGTTAATTAAAAATTATTTATAAAGCATGAAAGGTCTGGAGAGATAGCTCAGCAGTTAAAGAGTCTTACAGAGGACCTGGGTTTAGTCTCAGCACCTGTATCAGGTAGCTCACAACTGCCCATAACTACAGTTCTAGGGGATCTGACACCCTCTTCTGGCCTCTATAGACACCTGCACACATGTGGTACATATACATACATTCAGGCAAAACACACATACACATAAAAAAATCTGTAAAAAGCCTGCCTTCTAAGATGAAGACCTGAATTCAACCCCAGAAATCAAGCTGGGTATAGTAGTTTGTGCACTTATAGTCCCAGTGCTGGGGAGGCACAGGCAGGCAGCTTGGTGCTTGCTAGCCGGCCAACCTAGCCTAGCTCACTTGACAAGACCCAGGCCAGTAGAAACACAAAAGGAAGTGGACAGGGCCTGAGAACATCACGTGAGGCTGATCTGACCCCCATATGCACATGTACATTCATCTGCACACACACAGTGTAGATCACTGCATAAGCAAGGACTTCAGAGCCACACTAATAAATTATAGCACCCTTCACTCAAAGACAAGGCAGGCAGCAACCATTCAGTATCAACTCTTTGAAATAGGATCCAAGTCCAAAATGACCCAACAGTGTGTAATATATCAACTACATCAGAAGACTGTATGCAATAATTACAGAAGTATAGGTGCTCGGGGGTCTGTCTCACTGGTAGAAAGCTTCCCTGATGTGCCTAAGGACGTGGATTGGGTTAGATTCCCCCATCAGTGAGAACACACACACACAGAATGAGGAGGCTGGGCATGGTGCCACATGCCTTTAATTGTAACCACCAGGAGGCAGAATCAAGTGGATCTCTGTGAGTTCCAGGCCAGCTGGTCTACACATTGAGCTCCAGGCCAGTGAGGGCTACAGAACTGTAAAGTGAACCCGTAGCATCAATGAGCACCAGGAGCAGAGGCACACCCAGGAACAACTGGTGGATGGCAGACACAGAAACCAGAAAATCTAGGGGCCACTTCAGTGTCTGCAGCACTGACACCAAGTGAAGGCTGCATTATTTTAGATGGTCTCTGTGCTGCTGTCACGCTCTGCTATGGAATTCCGCACTGACAGTGTGCTGGGCAGGACAATGGGGTGTTCAGCAGAATGTGAGTAATAGGAGTAACAGCAAACGGGCTGGAGAGCGGCTTCCTGCAATACAAACAGGGTCTGCAAGTCTACAAGGCAATGTGTAAGTAGATATTTGAAAAATTGGCCTCCATGGGGAGTCAATGTTGTTTTTTATGTTTTTAAAGATGACTAGTTGCTTAAGTGTTAAAAGGCCAACTACCAGGGCTGGAGAGATGGCTCAGTGGTTAAGAGCACTGGCTGCTCTTTCAGAGGACCCAGGTTCAATTTCCAGCATCCACGTGGTGGCTAACAACTGTCCTTAATCCAGTTCCAGGGAATCTGATGACCTCTTCTGACCTCTTGTGATCTCCATGGGCACTGTGTGACACACCGGTGTACTTACATACATGTAGGCAATATACTCATACACATAAAAATAATAAATAAAATATTTTAAAAAAAGGCCAACTATCAGAAGAGAATGTTACTACCAGTTAGATATGCTAAACTTCCTTCTTTCGTTACCCAGCGTCTGTGTCTCTCCTTGCATTTTGATACAAAAATCTCTGCATTTGCAGTTGACTTGCTTGGACAGTCACTTACCACTCTCTCCAGAATCACATCATTGGTATCAACTAGTAAATCGAACTTGTCTTCCAACTCAGTCACTTTACTTCGATCCTTAATGTTGCTGCGGCACCCATGGTATTGCATTACCCTACTCATGCTAAAGAAAGGAAAACCAAGGTCAGTGTGTATATTCTTGTACCTGTTCACAATCTGGGCAAAAACTCAAATGGCTTGGCTCATAGGGATCCCAGCACTCTGATGAAATTAATCAAACTCCAACCCTTAGAGAAGCCTTTCAAAAATAATGCCTGGCCAGGCATGGTGTGTACGCCTTTAATCCCAGCACTTGGGAGGCAGAGGCAGGCGGATCTCTGTGAGTTCAAAGACAGCCTGGTCTACATAGTGAGTTCCAGGACAGCTGGGGATACAGGGAGACTCCATCTCAAAAAGACCAAAAAAAAAAAAAAAAATGCTTGAAGTCAAGCCTAGTGGTACAAGTCCAGTTACTTGGGAGGCTGAAGCAGAAGTTTGAATGTTTAAGGTCTGCCTGGGCCAAACACAGTGAATTTGAAGCTAGCCTGGGCAACTTGGTGATACCCTGTTTCTAAAGGAAATAGATAAACAAACAAACATTAGCTTCAAGGTAATTTCTCCCAGTGATTAACAGATGGTCATCTATAACAAACTGCCCAAGATCTCACAACTAGCAAAGTTTTTTAACTTAAAAAAATTTTTTTTCAGGGCCAGAGAGATAGCTCAGTGTCTAAGAGTGCATACTACTTTTACAAAGGACCTGTTAGTTCCCAGCACCCGTATCAGGCAGCTCATAACTGCCTATAACTCCAGTTCCAGGGGATCCAACAGCCTCTTCTGGCTTCCACAGGCTTCTGCATGCATGTGGTACACATAAAGATACATATATACTGAGAGAGAGGGAGTAGGTACCTTCACCTATGTAAGTCACTTTGCCAGCTCTTTATCTTTAAAAAATTAAAAAAAAAAACAAAACCACAGATCATGTTAGGGGATAGGGAGTGGCGGTGGTGGCGGCGATGTACATCTTTGATCACAGCACCTGGGAGGCAGTGGCAAGCTCTGTTGAGTTCTAGGGCATCCTAATCTATATAGTGAAACTCTATTTCAAAAATATGGGAACTGGAGAGATTGCTCAGTGGTTAGAACACTGGCTGGTCTGGTCTCGCAGAGGATTAGGTTCAGTTCTCAGCACCCACATGGTGGCTAACAACTGTCTCTGGCTCCAGTTCAAGGGGAGCCAACACCTTCTTCTGGCCTCCATGTGCACTGCACACACATACTTAGAATACATGCAGGCAAAACATTCATTCACATAAAAAATCACAGGTCATGTGTTACCCTTGCTAATATTCATACTTGTCATTGACACAGAGCCAGGGTTTTTTTTTTTGTTGGCTGGTCCTGGGCTTCAGATCCAGGGACTCAGTCACACTGACCATGCCCCTACCACTGATTTACATTCAATTTCAGGAACAATAATTTCCTATTTCTTTTTATTTCTTTCAATTAACACAATAAAACAATACAGTACTCACCACTGAAGCAACCTGTCTCCTTGTGTTTCACAAAATGCCTGGAAGCCGGGAAAACTTCGGTAAAAATCATATTCATCACCAAATTGCGGGAGGCCTCCTGATGCCTTGGTGACTGCCACCACTGACCCAAGTGCAAACTGAAAATCCAGAGAAGATGACACATTTTAAACATTAATTGTTTTTTGCTTGTTTGAGACAGGGTCTCCCTATAGCCCCAGCTGGCCTGGAACTATGTAGATCAGGCTGGACTTGATCTCACAGAGATCCACCTGCCTCTGCCTCCTGAGTGCTGGACTAAAAGGCAAGTACCACCATGCTCAGCTAAACATGGATTCTTTCTTGGTCAGAAAATAATGATACTTGTATCCTAGGGGCCTAGAAATACAAGTGCTCAGTGGCTGGGAGCACTTGCTGCTCTTCCAGAACACCCATCCAGTTCTTAGCACCCACATCCAGTGGTTCACAATACCTTGTGACTCCAGTACCAGGGGCTCTAACACTTTCTATATGGCCTCTGGGTACCCACACACAGGTGGCATACACTCTACAAAGACACACACATATCAATAAAAATTAAAATCTAAAAGAAAAAAAATGTATTCCAGGTTGGCCTGGAACTCACTGAACTGTCCACGATGACCCTGAACTTTGCTTCTCTGGCCTCCACCTCCCCAGTACTGGAATTGTAAACATGGACCACCACATCCAGTCCATGTGGTACAGAGGATCAAATATATGGCACTGCACATACTAGGAAAGCACTCTGCCAACTGGGCCATATCCCCAGCCTTCACTTTGAGAGACAACGTCTGACATAGCTGGCCTGGACCTCACAATGTAGTCTGAGAATAACCTGCACTCCAGATGCTCCTTCCTCTACCTCCTGTGTGTTGGGATTACAGGGATGTGCCACCACGCTGGGTTGTACGCACTGGTGGGAATGAAACCCAGGGTTTCACTGTGGGTCACCTATGAAGTCATGATAGACGACGTGAATGAAGTATGTCATTATCAGTCTCATTGATAAGGATGGCCGATCCTGTGACGGCCTCATGACAGAGTTGTGTGTTTTGGGAACACATCAAGCAAATAAACCCTCTGTGTTCCTGGGGGTGGGGGACCGGCGGGAGGTGGCGCAACGGCGAGGTGGGGCACCAGGCGGCTCATTCCCTGGATGCTCACGACCAAGCGTGGCCGGGCGGATGAGGACAAGGCCCTTAGGCGCGCATGGCCTCATCCCGGCCATCCACACCGCCGAGGGCCCCGGAAGCCCACGGCCCCACGTCTGCAGCCCCAGGCCCGCTTCCGGCTCGGATGGGCGGCTCCTGGGATGGCCCGGGACCCGCGAACTCACCTTCACGAAGCTGTCTGCGTCGGGGAAGCCCGGCAGCACCATCTCCCCGTCGGGCTTGGTCGCGCTGGTCGCCGGCGGGGCCTGCTGCTCCCTGGGACTGGGAAGCGCCATCTTTTCGGTCCGCAGCGGCTCTTCTCGCGAGGCTTCCGGCTGACGCGAGCCGCGCCCCGCGCATGCGTACAGGCCCAGTTTTTCCCAACTTTTAAGGCTGTGGGGCCAATAGGGAGTTTAGGGTTTTCCTTGACTTCACTGTGACTGAGTCTCAGAAAAAAGTAAATGGCGGGGCGTGTTGGCTCACGCCTTTAATCCTAGCACTCGGGAGGCGGAGGCAGGCGGATCTCTGTGAGTTCACGGCCAGCCTGGTCTACATAGTGAGTTCCAGGCCAGCTGGAACTGTCTCAAAAAAAGAACAAAAACCAACCAAGCAAACAAAAAATACCCACCCAACCAACAAGCAAAAAACATACCTAGGGCCAGTGAGATAGCCTAGTGGGTAAAGACATTTGCCACCAAGCTTGATGATCTCAGTTCAATTCTCAAGACCTGTATGGTGGAAGGAAAGAACTGATGTCCTCAAGTTGGCCTCTAACCGCCAAACATGCATAGTGTATAGGTAGCTTCATCTGTCAATTGGCACAAACCAGGCACCTTGGAAGAGGGTACCTCAGTTGAACAATTTCCTAGATCAGATTGGCCTTCTGAAGGCTTGTCTGTGGGGCTTATTTATTTATTATTGGTCTTTTTGAGACAGGGTCTCCCTGTAGGTTCAGCTGTCCTGGAACTCTGCAGACTCGCTGGCCTTTAACTCACAGAGATCCGCCAGCCTCTGCCTGGGATTAAAGGCCTGTGCCACCACTCCCGGCTCTGTGGGGCGTTTTATTGATTGTTGATTGAAGTGAGAAGGCCCAGGCCACTGTGGGTGGTGCTACCCTTAGGCAGGTGGTCCTGGGTTGTATAAGAAAGCCGGTTGACCTGGAGTGGTTCTGCACTTGTGGGCAGTGACCGGTGTATCTGGTCTACATAGTGAGTTCCAGGCCCACCCTGCCAATACTACATATTGAGACTATCTCATAAATAAACAAGCAAACAAACAAATAAATTATAAATATAGTGAGACTGTCTCATAAATAATGAATGAATAATAGATGAATGAATAAATGAATAAATAATGAATAAAGAAAGCAATAAGAAAATGAATGAATGAAAGAAAGCTGGTTGAGCAGAAGCCAGAGGAGAGCAAGCCAACAAGAAGCATCTCTCGACAGCCTCCAGGTTCCTGCTTGGGTGTTCAGTTGAACACCTTTCCTGGCTTCCCTTCATGATGCACTATAATCAGAAATAAACCCTTTCTTCCCCAAGTTGGCTTTGGTCAGTATTTTATCACAGCAAAAGAAAGCAAACTAGCACACCTGTTGAGCCAGCTCACTGGTCCCCCATTTTTTTTTTTTTTGAGACAGGGTTTCCTTTACCCTAGGATGACCTTGAGCTTCTGATCCTCATGCCTCCACCTCCCAAGTACTGAGATGACAGGCATGTGCCATTGTGCCCAGTTTATGTGGTGTGGGAGATTGAACATTCGGCCAACAAGGACCTTGAGTCATTCTTTGACACATCTTTCCTTCACGCAGGGTTACATGAAACCGTTTAGGATTGATGGGTTAGTGTATTCTTTTTTTCTTTCTTTTTTTTTTTTAGTCTTTTTGAGACAGGGTGTCTCTGAAGCCCCATCTGTCCTGGAACTCATAATGTAGACCAGGCAGGCCTTGAACTCAGAGATCCACCTGCCTCTGCCTCCCAAAAGGGTGTGCCACCATGCCCGGCTGGGTTAGTGTATTCTTAAAGGCCTCCACTAGTAAATCCCCTGTCTCTGGTAATTCATCTGAACAAAGCCAGAAGGTTTGATTTAGATGAAACGTAAAACCTATTGGACTCACCACATTCTCAATCCAGACTCTTTTAAGCCATTTTACCTGGAACCAAGAAAATTATAGTGATCATATTTTCAGGAGTCACAGAAGTGATATATGGGGTAAGATTATTTTAGAGACCTTGAGATGGGTATGATGAATTTATAGCTGTTAAAACTGTTGTTACTAACACTGTTAGGATTTAATTTCATTTCACCTCAATTATTTTCTGTAGCACTGGGGACTGAACACAAGGCATCTTTGTACTGAACTACACTACAGCCCTTCATCTTTGTATTAATAGTTCTCCAATAAATCTTTATCACATACTGCCAAGGGCCAGGTATTCTGGCAGACAAGTGTAGAAAGATACATAAGAAACTGGGCATGGGGTGTGCCGGAGGGGCAGGGCCACACTGCCGTGGATGCTGAGGAATTGTTCAAGCACTTCAGAGAAGTTACTTCATTCAGTTTTTTTTTTTTTTCCGTTCTGTGCATCAGGAAGAAGCTTATGACTTTCACCTATCCTGATGGATAAATCAGTACCTGTTCTCTTGTTCAACCATTTATAAAGCAAGTAGAAACTGGGCATGGTGGTACACTCCTGTAATTTTAGTACTACAGAGGCTGGAGGATCATGCATATGAAGCTAGCCTGGGCTACACAGTGAGACAATTTCAAAAAGAAAGAAAGAAAAAGAAAGTTTACATAAGACATGGCTCCTGGTCTTATTCTCCTTTTCCTCCTAATAAGTCCTTTGCTTATTGTTAGGGTTCCAAATAGCAGCAGTTTCCCCCCTCCCCAACAGGGACCTCACCTTGACCTTTGGAGTCAAGGGAAACAAACTCTGCTGAGAAGCAGCCTGCCTCTCCTCTGATCTCCAAAGATAAGATAAGCAGATTCTACCTGATAACCAGAGATTTTAGAAGCTGTTTTTCTCTCATCTTAAGAGGGAAAAAGTAAACACTCCCTGCCTTTCCTCTGACCTCCAAAGATAAGATAAACAGAGTTCCTCTTATCTTAAGAGGAAAAAGAAAACACTTCCACACCCTAATCTTACCTGCTTCCCCCTCCCTGATTCCACACCCTAATCCTACCTGCTTCCCCCTCCCTGATTCCACACCCTAAAGCCCCCATATGTAAAGTCCCAGCTCACAACCCATGGGCGGACATCTTTCCTTGGCAGACACCTTTTCCCTGACATCCTTCCCTTCCCTACCCTTCCCTCCCCTCCCCTCCCCTTCCCTTCCCTTCCCAGACATCTTTCCCTGACATCTTTCCCTTCCCCTAGGGAAAGGTGCCCCGTGCGAAATAAAGCTGTATCCCGCTGAGAATTCCATCTGTGCCTTGGTGCCTCATCCATCCTCTCGTGCTCTCCACCGCACCTGCCCACTTCTCTCCAACATTCCTACCTATCAGTAAGGATTCAAAGTCCTGTGTCACCCAGCTTCTGCTCACTGGATGCCTCTCCTAATCACCCCCCACCCTGTAACTCTGTTTTATTTTCCTATATAGATCTTGTCACTACTTATCTTCCCAAGATACATCCTTTTATGCATTTTTTTCTGTCTCTTTCTCAACAGAATGCATGTTCCTTTGGCAGACACTGTTCATCTTTTCTCTGCCATTTTGCTGCATAGAAAATACTATCTAGAGTGTTGCTGGACTTATGGAAAGGGCAATTCTGCTTCACTACACTGTTGTC